ACATAAGTAGTTATGATCCCAATAAGTTTAGGTACCTCATTTCAACAGGGCAAGAGAAAAAAATAGCTGCAGGCCTGTATGCAGTAACAAAAGCATCCATAGCTACAATGGCATCATTAATAAAGTCCATCACCTGTCCAAAGAAGTAATTGAATAATTTTAAGGCTTCTCTTGCAGCAAAGAAATTTAACTTGAGATAGCACTAAGCCAATGATTTAGGAGGTCGTCCTATTATGCTACAATTCATGCTTTGGCTAACCCCCACCCCATCTTGACATAGGTCTGTTATAATCTGTATATTTATCTGTTTATTTATTCATATTGTTCATATTGAGATAAACCAATAAACATTTCCTACAAAATACACGTACTGCAATTCCTTTTTCTAGGTGAAAGTAATCCCTAAAACTGAAATACAATGACATAGTATCTTCCAACCATTCATTCAGTATGAGATAGAAATCAAAGAACCTTTCAAACACAGCTCCGCAGTGGCACCTATAAAACAAAACCACTGACAAAAACAAACAAACCTCTAAAAAGTCAGCATGTAGATGATCAAATCCATCATCTCCGTGATTTCCAGAAGACAGAAGGACCTATCCAGTTATTAACACATAAAAAAGCAATCATGAATGTCATGTCATAACTAAGCAAAACTACAGATGAAGAGAAATACTACATATCCAAAGAATGTCAAACATTTCACTCAGATAAGAAACACTAAAAAGATGTGTCAGATTCAAAGCGATTTACAAAGTACCTCCAAAGATGTGCTGCAGCGTTCATGCATTGTGTAAACAATACTCAAGAAATGAAACAACACCCCAGTCAGATTATCATGATTGTAGGCTGAGCTTTCAGAGCATTTGCAACCTGAAAATAAATCAGGTGTGAGAGAATTCTTTTCTTTTGTGTGTGTTTGTTTTTGTGGGTTGGGGGGGAGGGGGGAAGGCAGTTCACAAGAGGCATACGGAGAAGATATCTCCCAACTTACTCCATGAGACATAGAACACTAAGTTGACATAGAAGGGTATCAACATGAAGCACTTGATACATCCCAGTAGAATGCGTTTACAGTGGAAAAGTCCATGGCCCATTAACATTTTATCTATTTAATAGGATGCATAAATTAGAAACCATAGAAAGTTATTTCTGTAAGAAACTTCTTGATTGGCCTTATGCCCTTATCAGACTCAGTTAAGGTTTCATACAATTTGATTTCTAGAGTGACCGTTGGAGGAATTTCAAGGATAAATAAATTAAATATCTCCCTTTGACTAATGGATTTGATTTCTATAGGCTTTAAAGAGGATGAAGCCATGTGGAGAAAAGAAATAAAGTCTTCAATCACTTGTACAAAAGAATGCTTACCAGCAATTTGGTCAGATCACCATTTTCATGACCGTAGATAGCACAAATGTCCAACAACTTCGGCACGTCAAGCAACTTGTTCTCCTGCAAGATGACTACAGGAAGAATTAGTGAATAAAATGTGCATATAAAATACCCTATACGTCAAAATTTAACAACAAATTTGGGTATATAAGGTTGAGCAGCACCAAAATGTGTCCAGACTGAATCAATTAAGAGACAACCTACCGGCATGGTCATTGGCACTAAGACTATCGGCAGCTCGAGCACCAGGATCCCGATTTGAAGATCTACAATTGCGAGAAATGTCCACAGCAATGTACAAGATAAAATGGTGTTCATGTAGGAGAGTTATAAAACTTTAAACTTACATTCGATACAACAGCATGAAGACACGGCGGTTTAGTTCAAACTCTCCAATGATAACCCCCGCAACAATCCCTTTGACACCGCGATGAGGAAAATCATACCACCTGCTCCTAAATTGCAAGAAACTGTTGATAAATTCATGCAAAGAAGTGTCGCCAGCCACTGACAAGAAAGCACAATAAATGGGAATTCCAGAAAAAAGTTAAGTGCATTAAAAAAACAAAAACAATATCAAATATCAGTTTAAATACCTCGTTTCCAAAATTCTCTGGGACTGAGCTTGAGCAAGCGGGACAACTCTCTATTTAAGAGATCAACTACTCTCTGCGATTCCACTGGGTCCAATCCTCCGTCCCCGCGCTGAGGCCTGCCGCCACGGCTTCATCTTGAGGCAAGTAATTTACGAAATTCCCATTGGAGAGACTAGATGGAGTTGCTGTGTTTGGAACCCAATCCCCACTCTCTCCCATCCGAACACGGCTGCTGGTAGAGCCACCGGGTACGGCAGCGGTAGTGCTGGAAGCGGGGGCATCGTGCTGTTTGGGAAGGGATTGCCTGATGGAATTTGAAAGGGATGTCGGATTAGGGTTTTGCTTTTGGTTTTTTGGGATGAATTTCTTCTGGGATTTTTGGAAATTGTTTCTGATGTCGCCGTCTTGCCTATTGCCGTGTGTATTCATACGAGACATGGATTTGATTTTTCTCTTTAAAAAAGAAAAGAGAATAAAAATATCTTTCGTTTTTGCTTAGATAATCTCAGTGTTAGGGAGGAAGAAAGGAAGGCAGACTTCTCATATTTTTCCAATTTATAGGTGTAGCTGTCAAAGGACAAAAAAATTAAAAAAAAACCATTAATTTATTCGTTTAGTTAGTTAATTCATTATTCATAGTAGAACTCGTAGTATTAATAATAATAATAAAATATTATTTTTAAAAAATTTGAGTTCAAATTATTATTCTGTATAATATAATCTGTTATCAATATTAAATAAATCTACACTTTAATCCCTTCAAATTAAAAAAAAATTATTTACTCCATAATAAAAGATGTAGAAATCCATTCTTTAATAAAGATGAAAAAATAACCGACGACCAAAACTTATAAAGGTGGGAGAAGAAGGTAGATTTGGGTAAATTATTATTGGGAAAATGGTTAGGTATACCCTAGATTTTCTAGGGTTCACGTTTTGTTCCCCCAACTTTGTTTTGTGTTCAAATTCATTCTTAGTTTCCAATTTGGTCACTAAACCTTGAATTCATTCCATTTAATCCTTATTTATTCTAATTACAATTCAGTCGGATCCTCAAAATTTTCAATTACGACAATGAAGTCCTTTAAAATCCAATTTAAACGAAAATTTGATATGATTAGCCTTGAGGAAACTTCTAGGTCTAGATTTACGGGGTGAAAATCAGACCTGAGTTTGTTTTTGTATGCATGTTTGTTTTGATATTCAATTGTGTAAAACTCATAGAAAGACGTCATGTATTTGAGTCCTTTGTAACCATTTGAATTGTGTTTCAATATTTTATTTTGTTAATGCTTTAATTTTAAGCTTATGATATGTTTGAGTAGTTTAATATCGTCTGAGTGATGTTAGAAGATTGATACAAATATCGTAAATTATGATGAGATGTTAGAGTCTAGCTTAATATTTTCTTAATCCTTAAGTTATCTTTTTGTTTCTTTTACTTGTTTTAGCTCTTTAAATATTTAGATTTATTGAATAGATTCCTTTCAACTTGCATTTTGTGCTTTGTTTGATTGATTAATAAGTTTATTTGTTTCTTAGATATTAAGAATTGTTAATATGATAATTTGAGGTACTACTTTTGGAAACGTAGTAGTTGGTATTGATAAAATAATCGAAATGCCTTTTGAAAAATAATATAGGATGGTAGGTTTCAATACTCAGAGGATTGACATTGATACCTATAGAGCATTTTTGATATCAGTAGACCCATCATCTCTGAGATGTTAGTGGTTTAAACTAAGGGGTTTATAAATCTTCCCGACTGTAAAATTTGTTTCGAGTTGAAATTGATGGGTGGCTTACATTATATGCTTGTCTGAGTTGCTACCGAGGAACATGCATGGAAACATCTCCAGATTTTTCCTAATCGTAACCATGGATTCCGTTCTTGATGCAATAAATAGCTTAATTCCTATTAATTTCGCGCACGATCTTGTAGAAATAACAGCTCTTTAGTCCCTTTTGACTTCTATAGCATTCGTGACTGGTGTTCTTCACCTGCTGGAAATCCCATATCATACTCAACCTGCCCACGGTTGTAACTAGGTTATGCTCTTGTTTACCGTTCTCAGTGACCTAAACAGATTGTGAAACATTGAAGGCTGTTCAGGTATAACAAATATCGAAATATGTCAACAACAAATGCGAAGGTGGCGATGAATTTTCGAGCTGTGAACACCTCCATCGATTTTTTATTCGCTTTTGTTAAAGTCAAATTAATCGGGTGCATGATTCTTTGTATCTTCCCACACAGAATCATCTGCTACTTCTGGTTTCACCCACCCAATAAACTTCTTCCCAAAACCCTAAACTTTATTCTCCTCACTAGCTACCATGCCATAAACATTCTAGAAATTCATAGCTCCACAGGTGTAAGCTTTATATTTTGTTGAGGGAATCATGCCAAAGGAAGGTAAGATTTAACTCTAGAAATTCAAGAGCTTCATTATAGGCTCCACATCTTCCATGGAAGATGGTGTAGAGCAAGCTTAGAAGTTTATGGAGAGTTTTGATCTTTACAGTGATATGAGCTTCATTCAAACATTCATAAGCTCCAGATTTGATTCCATGATTCACGCAATCTTATGTTTGATTAGAAAAAGAAGTGGGAGAGTCATCTTGTGCAAGAGAAAAGGTAAAAAAAGCAAATAGCTTGTTGATTAATGCATGTTGAGTGCTTTGAGTTTCAAACATTCCCTTTGATGAAATTGATGTCTTTGTTAGTAAACATGTGGAAAAGTGGTGTTAAATGACTCTGTACTACCCCATAAGCTTTAGAAATAGAGAAGTGTGTTTGGAGACTAATATTTTGACTAGGAAGCCGTCGCCCGTCTTCCTTCTTTCTTTGACCGACGCCTCTCAGCCGCCATTCGCAGAGAAACGTTGAACCAAGTCGCTTCTTTTTATTGCTTCTTTTGACCCTTGTGCCCAATACCCCAACTCCAACTACTTGTACTTCTCTAATCTAATATTATATAGTCAACTAAAAGCTTTGCTTTCACAGCAGCTTCCTTTTTGGCTCCCCTTTTAAAACCCACCTTTCCTCACTCTCACGCTTCAACTCTCACAACTCCTCCCTTCTTCACTCTTCATTCAGTCCAATACTTTGAAAGTTTCTGCCTTTCTCAGTGTTGCAATCAGATGGGTTTAGAGGCTCTTAATTCCCCAACAACTGCTGCTGCTCCTTTTCACTCCCAGGATACTGCCAATCTACACTCCATCATCAAACGCAAACGTTCCAAGCGACCGCGAGTTGCCACCGAGGAAGAATACCTCGCTCTCTGCCTTATCATGCTTGCACGCGGCCGTGCTCCAGCCGCACCCCTTTCGACTGACAAAAAACGTACCTACAAATGCAGCGTTTGCAACAAGGCGTTTCATTCTTACCAGGCTTTGGGTGGCCACAAAGCCAGCCACCGTAAAGGCAACGCCAACGAGGAGCAATTATCAACGTCGATGACCACATCTGATTCCTCCGGTGCAGTTACGTACTCGGCCGCGTCGAACCCGAGTGGTAGGTCCCATGAGTGCTCGATATGCCACAAAAGCTTCCCATCAGGCCAGGCCTTGGGAGGCCACAAGCGACGCCACTACGAAGGTGGGGCCGTGAAAAGCGGTAGCGGCGTGACGACATCTGAAGGAGTGCGATCAACCTCGACAAATACCGTGAGCCACGGCAGCGAACGAGGGTTTGACCTGAACCTCCCGGCTTTGGCGGAATTCTCACCGGTTCATTTCTTTGTCTCCGGGGGTGATGACGAAGTGGAAAGCCACACCCTGATAAGAAACCATGTCCGTTGATCCGGATGCCATCCAAAATTGAAGTCAACTAAGGTTTTAGGCCAGATTCGATGTATTCTTTCTTGTACATAGCTCATGGACGACTCGTCAATTAGTTTATGGATTATGATCTGTCTGTTTTGGTTTCATTTTATGCATTTTTCACGTGGGGGAAGAAGCTATTAGGATTAAAGAGTGGCTTCTTATTCAATGGAGTTGATGTTTTACTCATTTAATTAATAGTCAGTGCTACTATAATAGTTTGATTCGGCAAGTCATCATTTTTTTTATTTGATTAATTTGTTCAATTCCATGTTTCTCCCTCAATACCTATTTTATTAACTAATCTAAAATTGATATTTTGAGCCTAAGTCTAGAATTCCAAAAAGATATTAATATTTACGACAATTGAATTAATATATAGAATAAAAGTCAAGAAGATTAATTTCTTGTTCGTTACCTTCCATACCTAACTAATTAGTTAGGTATTGATTTTATATATCTAATTTGAAATCCAAACATAATTTGAATTGTATATGACGATGTTGAGTGTGTGGTGACAATGTGTTATGTTGAACATTTGACCAATCTTCATTTCCCCTCAACGTCTCTGCATTTCGGTATTTGACCGTACGGAATGAAAAGCCTTCGTGTTTGGAGGCCGAAGGCAATTAAAAGTAAGCTGATTAAAGAAAGAAAGAAAAAAGGTAAAATGGGGTCATCCACCCATATTTATGAGGGTAAACTGTTCGAATATTATCTTATGTTTTTGATCCCATTGATATGAGTCATTAGTTTAAAAAAATACTTTTAGTTCTTTACTTTAACCCGTCCTAATTAGGGATGGTAAAAAAACCCGAACCGACAGGGAAAATCGAAAACGAATTAAACGGGTCGGGTTCGGGGATGATAAACGGGGACGGGGACGGGGAAAACCTATTTATTTTAAACGGGGACGGGGACGGGGACGGATTTGGTAATCCCCGCCCCGATTACCCGCCCTGATACCCAACCCGATAAATATTAAAAATAATTATATATATATATATATATATAATATTAATAAATTTAATTTAAATAAAAAATATATATTAATTTAAATATATATATATATACCCCCCCGATTCCCGGCCCAATACCGACCCAATACCCGACCCAATACCGTCCCAATACCCGTTTAAATAACTGTTTGTGCTAAACGGGGATACCCGTTTCCCCGCGGTTTTCCCCGATTACCCGACGAGGATCCCCGTTTAAATTCCCACGGTTTTTTAAACGGGGACGGGTACCAGTTTTTTAAATGGGGACGGGGACAGGGGACCAATACCCGGCCCGAACCCGGCTCGTTGCCATCCCTAATCCTAATTGATTTTATAATTGTCAATCAAAAACTTTAAACATCAAGATTTATTGTGACCACAAAAATCTTACAAAGATTTAAGAATCCAATTATTTGAATTTCTACATAGAAAGTAATGAAACAATGTCTTACATTAAAAATTAATCTCAAAATTATTCTAGAAAAAAATTGAAAATAATAAATTCAAAATTGAATAAAACTTATTGTTGGCATAAATTTCACTTGATTTTTTCTTAATATTTGTTTTGCTGATGTAGACATTCAATTTCGTCCGTAGTCACCTTAAGGATTCCTTTTATTTTTAATTATATATATATATATATATAGTTTTAAAAATTATATAAAATAGTTTTTGAATATATGTATAACATATTATATAGTTTTGGAGATATATAATATATGTTTTGAAATCTTGAAAAAATATAATGTATATTTATTAGGATTCAAACTCCTAAAAATATGATAGAATTTTGCTAGGATTCAAACTCTTAAAAATAGGATAGAGTTCTACTATGATTTAAACTCCTAAAGATATGATCCACAAGCACTATAAATAGCCATTGTAACAAACTATTGTAACACACGATTTACAGACAAAATACAGAGGAAAGCACGGAAAATACAAAGGCAAAACTATTGTAAACGATTCGAAAAGGAAATAAAAGGTAGCATTTTTTTCCGTTCATTTCTTGTATGTGCACGTTATTTTTCTTGAGATTTGGTTCGAATAACCCAAAATGTGGGTTGCGCCAACGACCAAAAATGGGCGGGGTTTCGAAGTTTCAAACCTAGATCTACCCCGAGGCGTGTTCATTTTTTATCCCCTAATGCGCAATATCGACGTTAATTGTCTTTCAAATTTAGCCACAATCTTTATTTTTCTTTATATTAGTCCTTTTATTTATTGTATAGATATTTTTATTTATTTATTATTTACATTATTGTCATTATATAAATATATATACGTATGTTTTTTTAAATGATTTTCAATTGATTTTTACACTATATATTATTATTATATATTATATTTTTTTATTATTCATTTGGTTATTTTTTAATACTATATTTATTATTTATATATATATCTTTTTTAAATATTTTATTTATAAGCGTATTATTACTATATATATATATTGTAATTATCTTATTTAATTTTTTTTACTTATCATTATACGTATATGTATGTTTTTAATAGTTTATTATAAACCAATTATCATTATATGTATACTTTTATATTTGGTTTATATATTTATTTGTTTTTGTTTTAAGTTTTTTTTTATTTGTTTATATTATATTTTCATATTACTATCATTAGTGTTATGATTATTATTTTTCTATTTTACTCATATATATATATAGATATATATAATTTCATTTATTTATTATTTATTTATTTATTTATTTTTTTACTTATTTTTATTCTTCATTTTTTTCATTTATTCATTTTTTCCCTCTAACACATCTTATGACTTTTTAAGGGTATTTTCGTCAATTAATCAGAGGTAAGTAATTCATGATCAAATTTTACCTTTTAATTTAAAATTACAATTTTCTTAATTAAAACAACTGGAAATTACGTAGTACCGAAAGGGCGGTTCAAGGGTGCTAATCCTTCCTTGACCGTAATCGACTCTAGAGCCCGACATATTTCTGGTAAGACGTAGATCAGGTAAGAAATAGGGTATCTGATCAACCCATTTGTTTTAAATAAATGATCGGTGGCGACTCCAATCCATATTTTTCAAGTCGAAGCCTAATTCCGGGGCCCACCCGAAAGACGATTGCGACAGCTTGGCGACTCTGCTGGGGACACATGTAAGTGAGTCAGGCTAAGGTAATTTTCAGTTGTCTTTTTAACGAAAATGGTAAGTTTAAATTTTAAGTTAACATTTCGATCCTTATTTCTTACTTTTGATTATATTTTTTCGAGTAAATAGTTGAACTGACCGTTTTCTCAATGATTTCAGCCTTCCAAACTTTTTCATCTAAAGGCTCTATACCTGAGCTCCGAACCCATTTTAAGTGGGGGTGAAAGCAACGCATTCGTGTGAATTTATTCATCGTATAGGCCTAGCAAGTAACCTTCGGGATTCTTATACCTTATGCCTTTATGTGAATTTATTCTTCGTATGGGCATAAGGGAATGTATCCTCCCGAGTTTAACTTAGTCCACACAAGCTTGTAATGGGCTTAGGACTAAGGGTCTGGTAAGCCCAAGGGGACACTAACAAGGAGAACTCGAGTACCATTTTTTTTAGAACCTAAACCAGGAGACTATGGAGAAATAGATCCTACCAAAAACCTTATTTCAAACCCTAAGATGCCAGAATTATTTCATGCTTTGCTTCCTGTTCAAAGCACGCGAACTAGACAAATATGCGGTTAGGATTTGTTTGAAATTAGCATGCGGGATAGAGATCATGTCCCAGTAGGAATACTAAGCATGTTCGGGTAGATATCATGTGGGGTAGGATTTTTCATTTTATTATTTTGATTTACCTTACTAACTCTTTTCATTTTTTTCTTTTATTTTATTTACATCATATGCATCATTTAAAAGAGGTGTTGATCCACCAAAAACGTGTTTGTTAAACATGAATAATCTGCATTAATGGACAAAGGGGTTGTAATACAAGAGATGAAAATAAAGAGGACAGCCTACAGGGTGACTATGTGTCACATTCAATCCAGAAGACGTGGTACCCGCAATCGAAGAATATGTCACTTTGTTACATTGTAAAGGACTCCGAATGGACCGGAATTTACACCGAGCACACTAAAGTCAAATTTTTGAGAGGCAAAGGTTGCAGGGGCAAGACGAGGAAAAAGTTACTGACCCGAAGATTCCTTTTAAAAAAAAAGAGAATTCCAGAAACAAGTTGATAAGCTTCGGATTGAGGACTTCAATGACACTTTCGTTAGAAACAAGCCTCGAAGAGAGAGGAGATGCAGTCATTCGAGATCTTTTTTTGGGGCAAACAGCTTGTCACTTGCACATTTTGGCCAAAGGAGCCTGAACGGTTTGACAGAGTATTCAACCGATGACAGACGAAGGCAGAAGACTAGTCAACATGTCAGAAGTTATCAGGATATTTTTGTCTCTTAAAAGATAAAACACTTTTGTCCCCAATAAGGATTATTCATAATAACAGACGTGTTTTTAGATCAATGCCTCGAACATTTCATGCATTTTGCATTTTGCATCTACATTTCATTTTTAAGCATTTTCATGAAATTAAGTCATGGAGGATTCGATGAAGTGGATTTAACCACATGGAAACAAGATTGTAACCTTAAAGAACAAATTGAAAACAATACAGTGAGAGCCTGATCAGCTGATTGTAGGACAAAGCCTGCCAGGATGATCTAAGAAAAGAATCCCCATATCCTGAGGGCTACGATGTTAAAGCTGTTAGCTGTTACCACATAAGAAGCCCCAAACATTCCTCTGAAAACTGTAAGGCGCTTGTCGAATAAGGAGGAATGGTATATACCATTTGCACTTAGAGGATTGTTTTGTTTGAACACGTCTTCGATCTTTCATGTTTGCTTAGTCTTTTAAAAGGATTGAATTTATGCTACTTTCTATGGTGGAGCAATTGAACAAATCTTAATCTTTAGTTCTTCGAATATTAAATGAATTAAGGATCATTTTAATTCTTCAAAAATTATAGATTTTTTACATATGGCAAGATTAGACCTTTCTTATCTTGTCTCAAACCCCAAGATAAAATACCACGATTCTTTACCCAAAATAACTCATGGTCATTACCAAAAAAACCAAATTTTGACATTACCTCTCTTTGAAATTCTTGAACATTGCCTTTATCTTTTTGATACACCCATACATCTCTTTGAGTCAAATAAAGTCACACCATTGTCTTTTTAGACTCAAAATTGACATT